AGGGGTGGATGGTAGGGAGGGAGAGCAGCAAGGGTTGGGTAGAGTGATGGAGAAAACGGTGAGGCCAAAGAGATGGGGATAGATTGACAGATAAGAGAAATGGGAGAAAGGAGCAAAATAGGGGGCAGGTTGACAGATAAAAGGAATTGGAGAAAGGGGGAAATGGGGGTAGGTTATCAGAGGAGGAGTGGTAGATTGACAAAGAAGGGATGGGGCAGAAGGGATGGGGGTATGTTGACAGAAAAGGGGAGGGGGAAGATTGTTAAAGGAGGAAGAGCGAAGGAAGCAAAGAGGGGGAAGGGATGCACTCTCTTCACAAGTTTATTGTGGAGGAGGAGGTTGAAAGAGGATTCAGTGGCTGAGGAGGAGGTGGCTCAAATTCTGGAGGAGCCAACTTCTGGAGAAGCCAACTTCTGGAGGAGCTACGGGAGGAGGACACTGCTGTGTTGGAAACTGTAAGCTCTGAAGTCCCGTTGGGGAGTGTGGGGGGGTGTTGGAGGGTGCCCTGTTGCAGTTCAGGAAGGGAGAAACTTGCAGGGAGGGGGCTTTTCCCTATCTTTGCTTCCCCCTCCCCCCCAGGAAGTCTAAGCAGCCTTCCCTTTCTCTCCCCTCCTGTCCCCTACGGCTGGGCCAGCACTCACCGGCGCTGCCATAGCACTGTGGCTGCTCCGCACCGAGTACCCAGAGGAGCAGGCCCAGGCTAAGCAGCTGTGGCAGTGGAGCGGGCCGCATCTCGGCCTGCAGCAGAGAAAGAGGTGGCGGCGGGGAGAGCTGGAGGAGCACCGCTTCGTCGCATCGGCCGAGGGGACACAGTGCAGTCCAGCTTGGCTGAGATGCCTCCTTCCCTCTTTTCCCTCACGTGGGTGAGGCAAAGGCTGGGAGGTGTTAGTCTGCGGAGGGGGGAATTGAGCGGCGGCTCCTGGGGCATCCTGCAGGTAGAGCATTGGCTGGGATGGTTATAGCTGCAGCGGTTGTACTCGCGGCTGCAACTGCTTCTCCTGGCGTTCCAAACGGTGGCGATGGCGGCTTCCCTAGGGCTCTGCAGCACGTTCTCCCAGATTTATTAAGAATGTTCTCTGTGCAGGCGCTGTTAATGCTGTTCCACTTTTTGGCTGTTTTTAACCTCCCCCTTACGTTTTTAAAAGTTTTTAGATTTTTCTGCACACGTGGAGAGTGGCCCACGTGTGCAGGATAATCTCTTTTCCCTCTATGTGCTCCGTGTTTCCAGAAATAAGTATCCGCACACAGGGACACAGGAATTAGATATATAGATATTCTTAATATTTCTACAGACCACCCTACAGCTTAAATACAGTGAGCTGGATTCTATGAACTGCAAACACAAGGAGCTTGCCGAGGCAGATCTTTCGTCACCTTTCCTTCTCCCTGAAGCCCTTTGGAATCCTCAAAAACCCAGTTCCAAAGATTGGGGAACAAGGTGTCATGGAGTGTGTGTGTCTGTGTGGGGGTAGCTGTAGTAGAGAACAAAGAGCCAGGCAAAATCATTCTGGTAGCTGAGGAAACCAGTGGCTTGATTAAGGCACAATACTAAGCCTTGGTTGTTGGTATGTGAATTATTCTTGAAGAAGCTTCAGGGTTGCTTGTGTAGTCCCTGCTCCTCCCTCTCTCTTCCCCTCATGCAAAAAATGAGATAACTACCTACTTCTGGATTCAGAGAAAACCATAGTTTGTGTTGTATCTAAACTGGCAAATTATGAGTTGTGCTTGTCCTACAAACCATGGTTTGTTCATGCTTGAATTGCAATGTAATGGGGCTGCCACTAAAAAAGGCCCACATTCATCTCACCAAGCAGTAAAACAGAAATGTAGCACAATTTAAAGTCAGGTACACACAACTATGTCTTATTATTAGACACACATTTTGTGGACTAGTTAACAAATATTACAAGGCATTCTTGTATCAGGTACTCACCTTATGTCCTTGTATTCCTTTAGGACCCTAAAGAATAGACAATGGTTAATTTATAATAGGACTTTCAAGTATGGTAATACATGATCTAAATTTATACCCAGTTTTCACACTCAAATTGCCTCAGAAAATAAAAGTTAGGTATGTAATCACCACATTTAAAAAATAATAATCTCAAGGTAGAGTATATTTATTTGCCTTCCTCTAAGCACAGGAGTTATCAGGAAAACAAACCTAGCTTTTTCAAGCTAAAGTAATATCTCAACTTCTTTATGGCCCCTTTGCCACTAATTTGTACTCTTTTGAAAAAACACAATCTAAATTTCTTCGTGCCATCTTACAGGTCCCCCCTAGTGTTCCTTATTTCGCCTAGAAACGGGAAAAATGAGAACTGAGTTGAGAATTCTGTTGGCCTCTGCCTTTCAGTGGCTTAGGATACACATAAATCCAACAGGCCTTCTTCCCTTAATAATGCAAGATTTCTATCAGCCTAGATGGTTACACTTAGTTGAGGGTAGTCTAGAAAGAATGGGCCTTTCACCTGGTGCTCTTTTGTCACAGACTATTGATCATGCGAAATCTATAATTAAAGAGTTCGCAACATGGAGTGGCAGCAAGATTTAATGAAAACTCCAAACACTAGGGTTCTAGATACTCCATGACAATGGCCCAATAACATTTTAGATTTTCCTCCCCATAGGAGGGCTTTTACCCTGGCTAGATGTGAGGTTATGCTGTCAAAGGTATTAGAAGGGAGATACAAGAAGATACCATATTCTGAAAGGATTTGTCCCTGCTCCCTAGGTAAGGTGGAAACGTTGGGACACATTTTGATATGCTGCCCTTTTTATAAAGAACTCTGAGATAAGACAATTCTTCCTTTTTTCGATGGACTAGTAGTGGTGATGGATAGGGCATGTTTGTAGAAACTACTAATAGATGAAATTCCAGCTATCACTAAGGTAACAGCTGTTTTCTGCCTAGGCGATTAAAGTGTGAAGCAAACAATAGACCAGCTTATTAGGATTTCTCATATCTCATTTTAAGTTTTTTAGATTTAATATACAATATCTTTTTATTCTTGAAATGTGATGACCAGGATATTTTATCCTTATAACATGATGCCTTGTATATCTTAATTATGTCATACTTTTTAACTATTATATCTATGTATGCTTTTATTCTGTATTGTTGAATATGGTTGTTGACCATAAATAAACAAACTAACCCAGCCTCTAACAGATGAATGAACTCATCTAAAACAGTAGAATATACTTTTCCCTTGCCTTTCTACCAATCAAATATCCAGCCATGCACTTTGGATAAAAAAAATATCGTTGTGATTACTATAAGCTTGCCAAGTCCCCCCGGGGGGCGGGTAAACCCCCGCCCGAGAGGCCACCGGCGGATCGGGCCCCGGCGGAACCCCACCCCCAAAGCACGTGACGTGCCCGGCGTCAGCACATCATCCCAAAGTGACGCAGTCGCGTCGGGTGCATTGGGGCGGGGCCGCGGTCATCCGAGGGAAAACTCTGTGGTTTTCCCTCGGATGATTGTGGCCCCGCCCCCGGCATGCCCGACGTGGTTGTGTCACTTCCCGGAGCAGCGCTGGAGTCCCCCACTCTACATACACTGAAGACTTGGCAACCCTAGATCACTAAGATATAATACCACAAGTAAGGCTATATTCAGATTTCCAGTCTTGCAATCTCTTCTTAGTTGAAACTTGTATTATGCATTCTATATTGGGTCTAAGATAGCATTTGAGCAAGCAAGTGGATTTAATGGATTCTCCCCCCCCCCAAGCTGCAGTACCCCATGCTGATCCTAAGAGCTCCCTTAGGAACAGTTTTTTGAGTAGCAAGCCATCTAAAATGCTGCTCCTAATGGTCTGGGGAGGTAGGAAAGATCTGGTCTGTGACATCAGCTGTTAGTTGGTTACAGCCTTCTGTATTCAAAACAGACCTCAATTATTGTATCTCCTCACACATGTCCTTAGGATCTGATATAATAGCTAAATATATTAAAGGGGAAAAAGTTTCACTGTGGATTTTTCTTACATATATTCAGTGAGATCAACCTTGCTGTCCAGTAAATGAAGCCTGGGCAATAACTTGCTGATAGCCTGGAGATTTAATGCACTGAGATGACAGACACTAAGAAGTTCAAGACATGTGTCCTTCTCAGTGCAACAGCCATCACACATATCTGTAATACAGTGCCTTCTGTTAACAGGTTTACCTGTCTTAAGAAGAGCTACATTCGAGTCCAGCAGCACCTTAAAGATCAAGGAGATACCCTTTGCTGGTATCTGACAAAGGAAGCTTTAACTCTCAAGAGCTTATGCCCCCAAAATCTTGTTAGTCTCTATGGTGTTACTAGACTTGAATCTAGATCTTCTGCTGAAGACCAACACAACTACCCTCTGGAATGATCTCAAGGTCTGATTTTCATAAAAACATAGGAAACAGATTATTTTTGGTCTCCAGTGCTTCAGCCACCAGTCTGTGCTTATCCCCCAAAACAAAAGTCATAAAACAGAAAAAATAGAAACATTGATTGAACTCATGACAAGGTTTTATTACACTAGTCCAGTGATTTTCATTAGATATGAATTTTAATATATGAGTAGAAATAGAATATGGGCAGGGTCACATGGTTCCTGTCAAATATCACAGCCCCTGTAACGAAATGGCTGCCAGGCAGAGGCAGCAGGTTACTTTAAAATGGCTTCCAGTCGGGTAGTCCTCTGGAGGGGGGAGGTACTCCATAGGGAACAATGGGGCTGCCATACCTCCCTGCCTACATTTCCCAGCAGCTTTAGGAATATTAGTGACCAGTCTTGAGGAGGGCTGGAGTTTCTCTCCAACAAGGAGGGTAAAAGCAAATCCTGGCCTGCAGCCACCCACTATAGAGAAGAAGAAGAAGAGATTGGATTTATACCCCGCCCTTCACTTGGAGTCTCAGAGCGGCTTACAAACTCCTTTCCCTTCCCCTCCCCACAACAGACACCCTGTGAGGTAGGTGGGGCTGAGAGAACTCTGACACAAACTGCTCTTTTTCAAGGACAGCTGTGCCAGAGCTTGTGACTGACCCAAGGTCACATCAGCAGGTGCAAATGGAGGAGTGGGGAATCAAACCCGGTTCTCCCAGATTAGAGTCCGCACACTTAACCACTACACCAAACTAGAGGTAGAGAGGGTGTGTGTAGGGGACAGAGGAATTGCAGTTTACTTCTGTTTATTTTCTGCCCATGTTGTGTTGAAGTGCCTAAGTTTATTTTCTGTGCCTAACTTGTATATAGTTAAAATAAATCTTTTTTTAATCATAAAGCCTGGTAGTGCCTTGACCATATAGTCCTCCCCACTCAGCATGTTACTAGAGGCAAAGGGAGGCCAGGGCACTCAAACGGGCCCAAATTGGAGGGATTGCCAACTCTCCAGGGGGCGCCCAAAGATTGAGATATCCACTTTCCTGGGTTGGGAAATCAGCCAGAGGGGTCTCACTGTCCCTCTAAGAAGGCGGTGTCCATTCAGTGAGTGGTGGCAGCGACAGAGGAAGGAAATAGCCCCACCAGGCAGGGTGGGCAGGCAAAAACAGGGGCTTGTGATTCGCAGAATGGCTATTCAGTCTCCCAGGGCTGAGGGCGGGTCCCCGTTTTGCCACAGCCCCATTCAAAGTTTGAAAACAGTTTTCATAAGACTTACTGTAGGGCCCGGTAGACCTGGTAGGCCTGGAGGTCCTGGTTCAGCTATGACCTGCACCTATGAATTTCATTACACATTAAAATTCATTACACATTAAAATGCCATACAAGCAATAGATGATAAAAAATGTTCACAGTGAAGTGTGAATTTTCTTACAAGAAAATAAAGAACCATCAAATTAATAGAGGGGAGAAAATTTAAAAAGATCTCTTTAAAAAATTCAAATTGCATTATAATGGGGAGGATCCACTTCATTTCAGCCACAACACCCATCTACACTGGATACAATACAAATCTTTATGTGGGGAGAAAGAAGAAAGCATGCCTTCACTGAGCATATGGGAATCCTCCACGTATGGGCCCACAATGGACTGGATGTGTTCAACAAATGTTATTCACTAGAGTCAGAAATTATAAAATCAAAAATATCTAATAAGTATTATATAAATTCAATGCATTGTACGGTCACAAAATGCAAACCAGTTATCCTGTTTTCTTGGAAACAGTTACCATAGACTTAAAAAGCCTAGTCTGCTACTGGATTAAACTTTAAAATATGGCTATTAATACAAACCATAATCAGGTGCACAACAGATAAAGCCCTAGATATTTATGAACTTAAGCAAGAGCTTGGCCACAATGGTAAAAAAGAAGCCCCTCTGAAATTTAAACTGTCTGCCATCCATGCAATGCTCTCATAAGATCATGATTTGGAGCACTATGCTGATAGGTGGTACATTTTGTCCTAAGCCCCTATTTATTATCGGTGTGTTTTAGGGCTAGATAGTAGATAAGCACAGTAAGTCACATAAATACATAATGTTCCTATTCAGATGAACACAAAATAAAACCATGTCTTTACCAAAAGGTAATGGGCAAATATCCTGTGTAAACAAGGAGAGCCAAACTAGATTTTCAACTTTTCCAACCCTGGAAAGGACTCAGCATGGGGTGGGCAAGACACAGCAAAAAAAACCATGTCTACCAGCACCTTCCACTAATGGAGTGCTGGATCCAACTACATATTAATCCCACTGCAAAATGCAGGAGCTATTTCTACAATGCAGATGCCTTAACTGAAGACAAAAATTCTGTTTCACATAAAGGTATCTGTCAACTTTTTGTACTGATTTGACATTCAGGAGTTGCAAACTTACAAGATTCGGTTCGCGGGGGGCACCAGGTTCTCCTTTTGGCCCATCAATCCCCTAGATTGAGAGAAAGAGTGAGAGTTAAGAATCCATTTCTCACTAAAGAAGCAAACACAATCCATTCCCATTGTCTAGATGTCTTACTTCAGTTCTTCCTCCACTTATTTTTATTGGGCATTTCTTATGCAAGACTGAACTGCTCTTGGGTCTTATTTTATCCTAGCCACTGGAAAATCGAATGCCACTTATTTCTTCTGCCTGAGAAATATGCCAGTGAGTCATCTTGAAGAACTGTTAGTGGCTGGATGCAATGTGTTTGTTATGTCCTACACTGCATATAGAATGACTGATTTATGTACACTCTGAATGGCATGAGACCAGCCATTTCTTGTGGTGAGATGTTGTACACAGGTAACTGAAAAATACCTTGGTGGAAATAATCACACTAATCCTTCCCAGGAAATCATCACCCTACCTTGCTGAAAAGCACAGCAATATTTATTTATTTATTTACATGACATCTACCTTTCTTGATGAGACTCTTTAATATATGCTATTGGAGCTGGAATTACCGCGGCTGCTGGCACCAGACATGCCCTCCAATGGATCCTCGTGAAAGGATTTAAAGTGTGCTCATTCCAATTACAGGGCCTCGAAAGAGTCCTGTATTGTTATTTTTCGTCACTACCACCCCAGGTTGGGAGTGGGTAATTTGCGCGCCTGCTGCCTTCCTTGGATGTGGTAGCCGTTTCTCAGGCTCCCTCTCCGGATTCGAACCCTGATTCCTCGTTACTCGTGGTCACCATGGTAGGCACAGAAAGTACCATCGATAGCTGGAGTATTCCGGTGACCGGCCTGCTTTGAACACTCTAATTTTTTCATGCCAATAAAGGTTGTCTGTCAGTCTGATGAGACTCAAGGCATATTACACAGTGTAAGTCAATACAATCAACAGCTGGGGCATCCAATAAATAATACAATAGGGTTTGGATTGCAGAAATCTGAAAACAAGTCAAAATTCAATACAGAGATGAAACAATGCTGAAATAAAGCATAAGCATTTAGACATGACATGTTAAACAATGCAGAAATTACCTAGTAGTATACTTACAGAGCATACACAGTTTATACTTACAGAGCATACACAGTTTATATAACTGCAGTCTTTATTCATTGTTTATGTGGCTCTGGTGTTCAGATCCATACTAAAGCTATGTAGGATTCTCAACAAAAGCAAGTGGACCTTATCTGGCTAGCTTTATGCTTGAAAGGGTCTGAAGTAGGGTTGCCAACTTTCAGGTGGGGTTTGGAGGCTTACCAGAATTACACCTGATATCCAGACTACAGAGATCAGTTCCTCTTGCAGACAATGTGTGGTTTGGATGGTGGATTCTATGGCATTATACCCCACTGAGGTCCTGCCTCTCCTCAAATGCTGTCCTCTACTGGCTCCATACCCAAAATCTCCAGGAATTTCCCAACCCAGAGCTGGCAACCTTAATCTGAAGACATCCCTGTCTATCATTTTGGGCACTCAGCTGTGGATGTACGTCATGGCTGCCTGAGAATTAAGGCACCCATATTTGTACAACCTGGCTCCAGGTTGAATTCTGGATCAAGTTCAAGGTTTTGGTATTAACCTTTAAAGCCCTGAATTGTCTGGGGCCAACGTATCTACAGGACTGTCTTTCTTGGTATACCCCCAGAAGAGCATTATGCTCTGGGGAGAAAAACCTCCTGGTGATCCCTGGCCTAAAAGATATCCAGCTGTCCTCAACCAAAGCCAGGGCCTTTCTGGCCCTGGCGCCGGCCCGGTGGAACTCTCTGCCTACTGACATCCATGCCCTGCGGGACCTAGTACAGTTCCACAGGGCTTGTGAGACAGAGATGTTCTGCCAGGCCTATGGTTGAGGACAGCAACAGTCTACCATCAAGTCTGGCCTCCCCTATCTTTCCTCTCCCCACCATGGGACAAGGACAGAAACTGGTCCTTAAGCACCATCTGAAATAATCTTAGAGTTTGTCATTGTTTTAACTGTTTTAAGTTGACTGTAAATGTATTTATTTATTGAAATGTGGTTTTCTGAAATGTATTTAGTGAAATGTTATTCACTGTCTTTTTTTTTTGCTTTTTAACTTGTTTATTAGTGATTTGCATCCAAAGTAAATTAAGACATAACAAAGATACAACTTCATGAGAATGCAACTCAATAACAGTTATAAACTAAATCAGTAAATATTACAAATTGTCACATTTTAACAGAAGGACCTTCTAAAAAGACATAAATGTATTATTTCATGGGGTTAATGGGGTAAAGATTACGAATCTCGTCTCTACTTGGCAAACCTTGATAATACTGTCTTATAACGTTAGCCATTTGTGATAATGCATGTTTGCAGGTAAGATATCGTGCAAGGTGAGATAAGAGAATATTGGGAACCAAATTGAGCCCTACGTATAGGGGAAGGATGGTCTATAAATCAAAATAAATAGATAAACTTTAAAAAGATGCCTCTTTAATAATAATATTGCATGGTTACGTTGAAGGGTTGCCTCTATCTTGTGTTGATTATTTATTGAAATGTGGTTTTCTGAAATGTATTTAGTGAAATGTTGTTCACCGTCTTGAGCCCTACGTATAGGGGGAGGATGGTCTATAAATAAAAAAAAATAGATAAATTTTAAAAAGATGCCTCTTTAATAATAATAATAATAATAATATTGCATGGTTATGTTGAAGGGTTGCCTCTATCTTGTGTTGAATATCTGTTATGGTATTCACTGCTTCCTGCATAAGTACAGCTAACAGAAAAGACAGAATGCCAATTTGTCACCACCCTATATAGCAACGCAATACAACATCCTACAATTTCTGCAGGTGTCCACAGGTCTTCCCTATACTCCTTAAACTATGCTGTGGGTCAATGTGCCTCTGCTCCCTCTTCTTTTGTTTTAACTGCTTCCAAACTCATGTGGAAGAACAAGCAAGGTCAGTGGCCTTTTTAGGCCTTATTTGCAAGTAAAGGAAGCTTCTGCAATCCCTTCAGAGTGTGTCACTGAAACAAAGTTCACCCCGCCCCGCCCCCCGACCAGATAGTATACTCCTGTGAAAATGAAGATTTTCTAGCAATGGAAGCAATCACTAGCAGTCATGGCATAACCATAATGATGAATTGTAGACATACCGGTGGACCAGACAAGCCCATTTCTCCTATCTCTCCTTTCTGTCCCATTGGCCCAGGGCTTCCTTGGTCTCCTTTTATTCCTTTAGGACCCTAAAATTTAAACAAAAGAGTAGATACACCTTTAATCATGTTTCCTTTTCTGTTACTGCCAGCTGTCACCCTATTTATTTTATTTATTTATTTGTTGTACTTCTACCCCGCCCTCCCCGTGAACGGGCTCAGGGCAGCTCACAGTCAGTGGCACCATGTGCCCAAACATATAAAAACATATAAAAGCAAGATAAAACAATCATATTACAACTTACAATAAAGTGCTCAGAATAATATTGTTCGGTCGATCTTCCAATTAAATTTCAGATGGCGTACTACAGACATAACACTGAATCCCAAATCAGCAGTGTTCGGTCTCCCGTGCTACTATAGTTCAATCTCCATACAGGGCCATCTGCTACCCTGATGTTACTGATAGTAATAGTTGGTGGTAGCAGTAGGCGGCTCCTAATTAAAAGCCTGGCAGAAGAGCTCTGTCTTGCAGGCCCTGTGGAACTGTACAAGGTCCCGCAGGGCCCTGATCTCCTCCGGGAGCTTGTTCCACCAGGTAG